GGTGCGCAACGATACCGACGAGCTACGTTTGTCATACCATGTCGCGATCAGGAGGATGGAGTTTGCATTAAACCACACTGTGGAGGACTGATTGGAGATCCGTACATGGTCAGTAACTTCGTGGCCAGCTTCTCGACGTGCATCAAGAACTGGATTGAGGACTGCAACAAAGAGTTAAAGAACGATGATCTGTTGTTTGGGAGCTGTGAGATATTTCAACATCCAGTTTACTTGGGCCTGGCTAAGTATGCGGACGACCTTCGCAAGATCATCCTAGGCGACAAGCAAGCAGACGCAGCAGATCTGGCAGCGCAGGCACACATAGTGGACAACACGCTCAACCAGAGGCTTGACACGATCGGGATGCGCCAGAACACAGACAAGCAGGAGAACATCGTCTACTTCCAAGGACAAGGAACGACCAAAGCACACCAGCAGCTCAAGACGAAGCCCGATTGCAAGCTGCCTGGCAAAGTTGTTCCTCATGCACGATATCTTGGACCACAGATCAGCCCGACACAGAACTATGGGGCAGAACTCAACAAGCGCATCGCGGCCATGAAAAAGAGTTACAACGAATGTGGCAGCTTCTGGACTAAAGGGCATATACCATACAGGTGGAAGCGAGCGGTTCTCATCTGCAGGGTGATCAACACAGGCCTCTCGTGCATCGAATGCTTCTTGCCGACGCCCAGAGAGTACCAGTAGCTACAGAGCGCGATGGGCGCACTACTTCGGCGAGCCATGCGAGGAGGCGCTACACGTCACAGAGACGGCAGCGTGCGGAGCCTTAGCAAGCAGGAAGTATTTCGCTACTGGCAAATATTGCCGCCAGCGGAGGAAGCACTGGTGCGCCGACTCGGATGGTTCAAAAACATCCTTCGCTTCCCTAGCAATCACAGGCAGTTGATCGTAGCACTCTTCGGAAGGGTCGAGTTCGAGACAAACGAAGTCGAGGACAAACTCGGGACCGACACGAATCCCTGGGCTCAGAGGTTCTTGGAGGACGTCAGATACGCGTGTGGGGTCTCGGAGAGCTACTACAACACGCTAGGCGAGGGCGAGAACATCACGATAGATAGGCTCTTCACTCTAGAAGTTAGGGAACAACTATATCTACTTGATGTTCGGGAAGTTCGGGCAGCAAAACTCGGAGTGGCGGTCCCCCCACCAGGCTCCACACAGCAAGATGTCCAAAGAGAAGAGCTAGCATTAGAAGAACAGAAACCATGGAAATGTGAAATTAAACACGGAGAAGAGGAATGTGGTCTATTATTCGCAAGCAAGAAAGCACTACATAGCCATATTATTCGTGCACATAATGTACACAACTTAGCAGCGGTGATGACATCAAACAACGAGTGTCTGAATTGCCAGCAAGTATTCACAAGCAAAGGTACGGCATGGAAACATTTGGCAAGCAGTACGATCAAAGGAGGATGCAACAGAGACAAAACAAAGACTCAATATGTTCCGACGGCACATTCTCCGCAATGCCCTCTCTGTAGTCATTTCTCTCTCGACAAGGGTGCGCAATTCATTCACTTACGTACGCATCTCCCGCGACAGCGCCTACAGCCGCCAAGAGGTATACGCCATGTCGCTGTTCGACCAGAGGCCATTGGGCCAGGCTCCGCTAGGCCCAGCAGGAGGGGGCGAGGTCCGACGAGAAGATCGCAGCCGCCAACGAGGACCAGTGCTACGCGGACCAGCGGTCGGAGGCGGAGGCAACCAGCAGCAGATCACGGAGCTCACGGCGAGGCTCACGCTCACGGTGACACGAGAGCAAGCGGAAATGGCGGCGGCACTCATACAAACTTGGGAAATCGCCACGACGACGGGTATCGCTACCACGGCCCTCGGAGCGGGCAAGCACTACAACGACGAGGCGCAGCAACTCCACCAGAGACAACGAGGCGGAGAACAAGTCGACCTGGGCAGCCTGGGCAGCCCGCACGTGAAGGTGTGGACGGAGACGTGCGCTTACCTGGGCAAGCAGCTCGAGGAGGGCGGGCAGCTCAACGAGGTGAAGAGCCACTACGAGAACATCATTATGAAGAACGACACGGAAGCCCTCGCGGACATAGTACCAGTGTTCAGGGTCAGGCGCAACAAGGGCAAAGAGGGCGGCGGGGTCGAGAAGTGCCGATTCCAGTTCAAGTTCGGAGAGAGCAACCACCAGCTGTGCACGGTGCTGGTCAACCAGCTCAAGAAGGAGGGCGCCACTCGCAAGATCGGGTCGGCACCGAGGGGCGCCTTGGAGAGGGAGCTCGGCCGCCTAGTGAACGGATAGTCGACTTCGGCACGATAGAGGAGGAGAACCGAGAGGAAATGACCGCTTGAGATCGACACCTGAGAGATGAGGAGGAGGAAGACAGTGTTCGAATTCGCCCAGTCCTTCCCCCGCAGCTTCCCCAGACCATCCCACGAGTTTTTGAGAATAGCGCCAGGTTCCGTGAGATAGTTAGGTCTGGACGTCTCCCACCTCCTCCTTCTCAGAATGCTGTGCCCGAAATCTTCCAATTCGATGGCCCACGTTTTCCTCAGTATTTACTAATGCACCGACCTCCCCCCACTCCCGAACCGAAGCGTAAGGGACGAGGTAAGGGTAAGCGGAGCCAGCGAAGCCAACAGCAGCAGCAGAGCGAACGACCTCCGTGAATGCGGGTGCTACCCTGCCCGCAGACCCCTGCGTGGGGGAGGTCGGCGCAGGTCGGGCCCGAGCGTCCACTGACGTCAGCTCTACCAGTATACTCAGAGAACACAGCTAGGCCGTGCTTAGATTACGCAGCTACTCAGAGCTAGCCAGAGCGTCAGTCACCCAGACATCGGCCCGACAGCTCGATCGATCGATCCTCTTCCTCCTCCTCCTCCTCCTCCTCCTCACTCTACTCCTCCTCCTAGTCATTCTCCTCCTCCGCTTCCTCCTCCTCCTCCTCCTCCTCCTCCTCCTCCTCCTCCTCCTCTCCTCCTCCTCCTCCTCTCCTCCTCCTCCTCCTTCTCCTCCTCCTCTGCCTGCTCCTCCATTCCTTCTCCTTACAAATAACTTCGCCCTGTCGCAACCCGAGGCCAGTTTTTTGGGCGGGCCAGGCGTTTCGCCTTAGACTTCCTCACCATTTATGACCCTGAAGCTTAAACATTGGCAAGAGCTTCACATGTGGAGGGCGGGTCGTTTGTTTAGTGTGGCTCTCGCCTCAGCGCTGCGCACATTCGATTTCAAAATTTGCAAGAGCTTCACGGATTGAGGGCGGGTCGTTTTCAAATGTGGCTCTCGCCTTAGCGCCGCGCACATTCGCTTTCAACATTTGCAAGAGCTACACGGAGTGAGGGCGGGTGGTTTTCAAAATATGGCTCTCGCCTTAGCGCCGCTCACGTTCGTTTTCAAAATGTGCAAGGGTTTCACGGGTTGAGGGCGGTTCCTTTTCAAAATGTGGCTCTCGCCTAAGCGCGGCGCATATTAACTCTTAACGTTTGGAAGAGTTTCACGGGTTGAGGGCGGTTCCTTTTCAAAATGTGGCTCTCGCCTAAACGCGGCGCACATGTGTTGTCAACATTTGCAGGAGATTCATGGATCGAGGGCGGTTCCTTTTCAAAATGTGGATCTCGCTCAGCGCCGCGCTCATTCTTGTTAAAAGATTGCAAGAATTCACGGGTTCCCATGATCGACGAACCAGATATGATGTTCTTCTGTGAAGGATTCGCGATTACGAGGGCGCAACAGTTACGATGATTCGCGGAAGTGAGGTTCCAGGAATGGCGTTCTGGCGTGATTCAGGATCGCCAAGACGCAACAGTCAGGTTCATCCGTGGCGTTGGAATACCGAGAATAATATCTTGGCATGCTTCAGGATTTCCTCCTCCTCCTCCTCCTCCCTTTCCTCCTCCTCCTCCCTTTCCTCCTCCTCCTCCTTCTCGTGGGGGGATGGCGCTCTGGGGCTCCTCGAAGGCACCGCCTCTCGTGCCGAGGGGGCCTCGGGCGTGCTCGGAGTCCCTCCAGGTGCCTTCTGGAAAGGGGCCCAGGGACAAACAAAACCAATAGACACAAATCCCAGCATTCCCCCATATTCCAATGTTTTCTGGATGTTCGTCTCCCCCTCCATCTCCACAATGCTCCCATCGTTTCGTCCGCCCCTCCGTCTCTCGTACCGAGGGGGGCCTCGGGCGTGCTCGGGGTGCTCCAGGGGGCTTGCTGGATAAGACGACGCCAGGACGAGGATCAAATCCGGGTGAGGATGAAGCGAAGATCTCTGAGGCCTGGCCGCTCTGGAAGACGTATCGGGCGCCGCGGCGATCTCGGAGCAATCCGGAACGCTCTGACAGCGTTTCCGGAGCGCTATGCGCGGATGTCTCTTCGTCCTAGCCCCGTTCGACTGGAAGCCAGAGGGGGCTCTTGGAACCCAGCCCCCCATCGCGCCGTGAAACAAAACACAGCAAAGCAACCTCAAAGGTGAAGGTCAAGAGCGAAACAAGGGCGTACACGTACATCAGTGCGCGATGGCTTCGAGATTATGCGTTGCGCGAACGCTCGTATCACGCGGTCGGATTCGCGGATTTGGGGGATGTGTTCATGTACGTGGTTGGGCGCGTACGTCCTTTGTGGGCTCCCGAGAAGAGGTGACTCGAAGAGTAGGAGGTCGGCTCTAGGGGACAGGAGTTAAAGGAGTCCTGGCCGTCCAGACAAAACATGTACACAGCATTGACGCGAGAGCACGATTCCTGCACAAATGGTGGGGAGTATCAAGCGAAGCAGCTGCTAGACTGGGCGGACTGGGGCTCCCCGTCCCCCCTGTGGGACCCGTCTGTGGTCCCTTTATTTTTCAGCTCTTTGAGCCCCTTCTGCCGAATCGACGTTGGGGAAAAAGACGCAGCCGGGACAAGCGTGAGACCACGGCCACGGATCGGGACCGCCCGGGCCAACAGTCGACGAGGACGACACCGACGACCGACAGATGACGACAGCGCGGCGACGACCGCGACGACGCCGCGGCAGGCCGACGCTCCTGCAGCCGCCGCAGCACGAAGTCCCGCTTGTGGCTGAAGAGCGCCTCGCGCGCGCGCGCCGCGCGCCCTCTGCAGGGGGGGAGGGCGAGGACGACCCCCCGGCGACGAGATCGACCCTGCGATCCGGGCGCTTCCCTTGTTCCCGACTGGCATGTCGCGGAAAGGTTCCAATGTCGGTGCCCTCTCCCCCTACTAGCATGTCGCGACAGGTTCTAGTGTCGGTGCCCTGTTGCCCTACGAGCACGTCGCGAAAGGCTCCAACGTCGGCGGCGCGCGAGGGGGCGGGCCTTCTCAGAAGGCTCGCAAAGCCTCCGGCCTTCGGAGACGTCTTGTCGAAGTATTTTCCAGGAGACACCGGGTGCTCGTCAGAAGGCCGGGGGGGGGGTCGGAGAAACCCAGCCGCCTTCTGAGGCCTTCTCCCTCTCACTTCCCCCCGGGGCGCGCCGCCGAGAGGTAGTGGAGATGCCAAGGAGGGCCACAGAGGAGTCCCACCACGGGGGCGGGGCGAGGCGAGGCCAGGCGCAGGCAGAGGTTCAGAGAGGCGGCCCCACGAGAGCACGGCGGTTGGGCCGGAGCCTGGGATACGTTGTGGATCTCCGTGTGACTCATGAGCGTGAAAGCTCGCGGAGAACGAGGAAGGACGACGACGACGACGACGACGAAGAGCATGGCGCTGAAGGTGTCTAGTGGAGGTGGAAGTGGGCCACGGAAGAGTCGCACAAGGGGGGACGGGGAGCCCAAAGGAGGCCTGGTGCTGGCAGCCATTTCGCCTGAGACCTCTTCGCAAATTGGTCAGGAATGATTCTCTCGCCGCAGTGCCATCCAAAATCTTAGACTCGACGGTCACGATCCCTACTACCCTCGTCAAAATTAACTTCAAAAGTTGCTGGCACGTCATTTCGATTTCGGCGCGCCCCTCAATGTCGACACGCCGCCCCTTCAATGTCGGGGCGAGGGCAAAGATAGTCTGACCGAAGTTGACTCGAAAGTTTGACGTCGACCGACGTTGGAGGGGCGGCGCATGCAAGTACCCCGCACTCATCGATACTCGGCCCCAGATCTTCGACAAGCAGTTCAACCACGTCAGACATTGTTGAGGTTAATTTTGACGAGGGTTGTAGTATCAAACGCACTCAGGTGCACATGGCCGTGCTCTCACCCTTGTCTCGCCTGCATCTTTGGCTGCTATTGGGGTGCAGTGTTTTGCCGGGGTAATCATCACAACGAACGCTTTCGCTCTGTTTCGATGCCCAGTGCCAGCACTGGTCGATCAGGCTTCAATTCAGCAGCACGATGGAGTCTGGAGCTCCGGTGGCGACTTTATGTTGCATTTTCTCGCGACCTAGGATCTCGGGGGACGACGGCGACTCGCGCTGGCGAGGACGACGACGGAGGGCCCACGATGCGAGACGGGGCGTATTCATGAACACCGCCTGGGGGATCGATCTGCGGGGGCCTCGGCTGGCGGTGGATGTGGCTATCTGTTGCCCTCGAATGGCCCGAATACAGTCGACCCGTGCAACAAGGGCCTTGGAAAGCCGTTTCGGAGCTTCTCGAGCGGGGCGCGGCCAACGAAAGTGGCCACGGATGGACCGAGGAGGCAAGGATGCAAGGGCACCCTTGGGAAAACTGCCCATCCACACTACGCGGGTTTACTGCACACCCCTACCCACCGCCTCCCGAGGCCCCCGAAAACCGATCCCTCAGGTAGCGATTCTGGATGATTCTCCGCTTCGGGCACGAGAGCCGGAGGCGACGGCAGCAGCGACAAAAAAAAGACGGCACGAGCGCAGAACCTTCGGGGGTCCCCGCAGACTTCCTGGACCGGCACCGGGCCCCTCTTGCGGCGCCTGCCACGCCGCCCCCGGGGCACTCCGCGCGCCAGGAAGGGGGCGGCGCCGCGCCGATCCAGGGAGTCCGCGCGGGCATCCGAACGAGTATGGTTACGCTTTGTGCCCGTCTTCGAGACAGGAGCGGAAAGCTCGGTACCCGCTCGGGGTCCTCGTCGAACGTGTGGGAGGCGGGAGCCCATGAGCAGAGGAGGCGGGTTCAGGAAATCCTGGGTCCCCCAAAAAAATCCCACCAGCCCTTTTGGGCGTGAGTGGTTTAGAAGGTTTCCTCCATCTTCCCACTTCCCTTTTCGGGGGGGGTACCCTACACCCTACCCCTTGACCTGGATGGGGGGTCGCGAGGGGCTGGAGCGTCCAAGATGGCCCCAGCGAGAAGGCCCAAATCATGCATGTGTTGCAGGTATTGGCCGCATATTGGCCCCCTGGGGGGAAAGGGCTAATGCACTACGGCCCCTCCTTGATCGGTCTCCTCCAAGATGGCCCCAAAATGCCCCCCCGAGGCTCCCAAGAGTGCTACAAAACGGCCCCCCCCAAAGACCCCCAAGAGGCCCCCAAGAGGCCCCCAAGAGGCTCCCAAGAGGCCCCCAAGAGGCCCCAAAAAGGTCCCTGAGAGGCACCCACGACGCCCCAAGAGGCCCCCGGGATCCCCAAGAGACCCCAAGACGCCCCAAGAGTAATACAAGAGGCCGACGAAAGACATCCGACGAGACTATGGGCGGCATCCAGGAGGCCTCTGGCTTGTGTGTTCGCCCTCCTCCTCCTCCTCCTCCTCCTCCTCTTTCTCCTCCCTCTCCTCTTCCTCCTCGTCCTCTTCCTCTTCCTCATCCTCTTCCTTCTCCTTCTCCTGTTCCTGCGCCTCCTCCGAATCCTCCTCCATCCTTTCCATTCTGGGGTCTGACGTTTTACCCAATCGTTTGGTCCACTGCATGCCCCTACGCATCCCTGATCAGGGCAGATCGTCTGGGCATCGTCTCTGGATGGGCGAAGCGTCTAAAACAGACGTCCGGCGGCGCGAGGAGGGCTAGAAGAACAACCACAGAACGACCCAAGGAAAAGCGATCCCCTTCGGAACCCAAAGCGGTCCTTATTTCAGCGTTTTGACTGTACCGCCTCATGCGGCCTGGTTTGCCGAGGGGGAGAGCGTGCAGCCTGCAAGGCCGCCTTCGCCAGGCTCTGGGCGGAAGCCTGCGGGAAGGGTGTGCGGAGGGCCTTGCCATCCTGGCGGGCCCACCGGCAATACACGCACCGATGCATACATATGATGCTGAAGGCTTCGGGAAAAGGTGGACCAGTGTTTTTCTAACAGATGTCCCACATCATATGCATAACCACCCGAGCCATGTGATGTATATGTTCCACGCTGTCCTAGCCAAGGGGGGCGTCTTCGAGAGGACCTTGTGCATGACGTGCCCTCCCATGTTGATCGACAACATTGCGGCGGCGCGAGCGAAGCAAGCGCCTCTTTTTTTCCGTCGGCCAGGGCGCAACGGGCGCTGCGAAGTCAGTCACGCCTACCACCTCATTGGAAGGGTAAAAGCTCTTGAGCCAAACGCTCGCAGCGGCAGGCAGATGGGTGATAACGTCACGCAAGCGGGAGTGAACGACACCGACTGCCAGACTCTGAGCCATGAGGGGGTCCCCAGAAAGAGGAGGAGGATGAGGAGGAGCAGGTGAACGGCGACAAGAGACAAGCCTTACGCTAGAAGACACGGCGACCTTACGCCGCGGCTGACGCGGGCCGCCACCGCGACACGCAACATTGGAAGCCAGCGCGCTGACGCGCGACCTTACGCGGGTAGTTTTTGCGAGTCGCTCGGGCGGAAACAGAAGAGCAGGGGCAAGAAGGGAGGGCCAGGAGGAGGAGGAGCAGGCCGAAGCAGGAGGCAGCAGCAGGAGGGATGTTACGGGACCCTCTAAACGCGATAGGTGGCGCAGCCAGACCCTTCCCACAGGACTCCTGGAGTGCGGGTCTCGCGACGGGCCTCGATCCGTCGGACCCTGGAGAGAGCCGCCTCGTGCACCGCCGCCGACGGCCCGCGATGGCTGGGGTGCTTGCCCTGGCGAGTCCTGGCCAGGCTCTCGTGGCCCTTCCTCGAAGGCGTGCACGTCCTAGTGGGGCAGCAGCAGGAGGGGCGTACGGAGCGGCCGGAGGAGCTGCCGCAGGGGCCAGCGGAAGCAACAGGAGCGTGGTCTCGCCGAAGGCCTCCGCAGGTCCGAGGGCGAAGGAGGCAGATGTCACCCTCGCCTGGGATCCCATACCCCCTCGAGCCATGCAAAAAATCATGACGGAATTGTTTTCGCTATTCTAAACCTCTCGGTGCCCTTACAAGGCCTCGGGACTGCGAAACGACGACTCAGGATGAAGAACCGGTCCCCGGAAATGGGTCGAGATCCTCTGGGGTCAACGCTATGAATAACTCATGACGACGGGGTTCTGGGGATCCTGGCGTTGCGTTTGTGTCACCACGAGCGGTTTCGCCGGGTTTCGGGCCCAGGCACCCTCACAGGTCTATCCGGCTCGAAGAAGTGCGCAGAAGCGTAGGGTCTGGTTTGCGATCTTGTTATTGTTTTCCCGGCGAAGGATCTGAGAGACCCCCAGTTTCTGCTCCTCCCTCCTCCCCCATTCAGGGATGCTGCCTGGCGCCCTGGCGTGCCTGTGGGAGGTGGCCTGCCCAGGGAAAATGCTGCTGGAGTGTGCACTGTGCAACCCCGCCAGAGTAGAAATGAGAGCTAGGGCCCCTCCTTCGAAGCTCGAGGAGCAGCCAAAGTACGGGTGCGCCGGCCTGAAGCATGATCGTCTGCTCGATGACAGCCTGCGCGCACCCTCCCGTCGCTGTCGTCCTCCCTATCTCACTCCCGCCCTCCACCTCCTCCGCCTCCTCCTCCTCTTCCTCCTCCTCGGCCTTCTCCTGTTCCTCCTCTCCCTTCCTCTCCCCCATCCCCATCCTCCTCCTCCCATCTTTTCCTCCTCCTCCTCCTGCTCCTCCTCATCCTCACGTGCTGCAATTTGACACCAACCTCCTCCACCTCATCCTCATATCCTCCTCTTCCTCATTTTATCCGTCCTTCCCCTCGCCTCCCTCCTCGTCATCACCGCCGTCGTCATCGTAATCACCACCATCACGACCATGATCACCATCACCATCACGCGCACCCCCATCGTCATCACCACCACCAGAATCATCATCATCATCATCATCATCATCATCATCATCATCATCATCATCATCATCATCATCATCATCACAACCATCATCATCATCATCATCATCACAACCATCATCATCATCATCATCAACAGCAGCAGCAGCAGCAACAGCATCATCATCATCATCATCATCATCATCATCATCATCATCATCATCATCCACATCATCTTCAACATCATTATTAGCATCATCATCACCACCATCATCACCAAAATCATCATAAGCACCACCAACAGCATCATCATCACCACCACCATCACCAAGATCATCATCATCATCACCATCATCATCATCATCATCATCATCATCATCATCATCATCATCATCATCATCATCACAGCCATCATCACAACCATCATCATCAGCATCATCATCATCAGCATCCTCACCATCATCAGCATCATCAACATCATCATCGTCGTCGTCATCGTCATCATCTCCAAACCCATCAGACTCTTCAATGTCATCATCATCATCATCATCATCATCATCATCATCATCAGCATGGTCACCACCACCACCAGCACCGTCGCCATCACCACCATCACCACCACCACCAGCGCGAGCAGGCGGGGAAGGGCGCAGCCGGAAACCCGGCCTGGCCGCCCGTGCTCACTCCTGCGCAAAGTCGCACGGCGCACGACGTCGGCGGCGAAATCCGAATCCTGCCTTCGCCGATCAACGATTCAGGCAACTCGATGGGCGGCGGGGGCAGGGTTCGGAATTTGTCGAGCACTTGGCGAAATCTCTGAGCCCCACCCCCGCCTCCAATCGATCCGAGAGATTCGATGGTTGGTGGGGGCAGGGTCCAGATGTCGCCACCGACGACTGCGAGAACACATCGTGGCAGGGCCTGCTGCGGGCGGGATCTGCGCGCGAGCGCGTGCATCTGCGGCGCGCTCCGCGGACGCCGAGGCCGGGGTCCTGGACATCCTTCGGCGCGCGACGTGGAGCCAAGCAGGGTGAAACAGCAGAGAGACGGCGCCAAACCACAGCTTCATCGAGGCTCGCTGGCCTCATCGTGCCGCTGCCCGCATTGCTCCCCAGGTGGCCTGGGCTGGCCCCCTAGCAGAAGCGGCCCGCGGAAGTGTCTCAGAGCGCAGCGTGGCCAGGGTTCTGAGGCGAATCTGGCAGCGGCGACCAGGGACCCCTGAGGAGACCCCAAGAAGTCGAGGAGCATCGAAATCATTGGCGACAAACTCCGATTTAGAGCGCCCTGTGGCGTGGCGCAGTGCTCAGCGGCAGGAAAGTAGAGGAGCAAAGACATTTGGCACCACCACCAGCGCGAGGAGCCAGGCATGGCCCTCCTGGTGGTGTGGCTCCGGTGTCTTGCGGCGTATAGCTCGAGGCACCTCCAGTGTTCAGCTTTGGGGGGACATCGTGCACCTTTTTACTGGAGGAGACCCGATGATGAGGTGGCTTCGTTTCCTCGATCCTCGCTCCTCCTCCTCCTCCTCCTCCTCCTCCTCCTCCTCCTCGACCCTCCACCTCCACCTCCACCTCCTCGATCCCCCTTGCTGCCCGACCCTCCTCCTCGATCCTCGATCCTCGATCCTCCGATTCCTCCTCGATACTCGATCTTCCTCCTTCTTCTCCTTCATCCTCGATCCTTGAAACCCCTCATTCTCGACCCTCGATCCTCGATCCCCCTCGACCCTCGATCAGGGGAGGGGGTCGCCTTCTGACTTAGCAGCGGCACGCAGCTCCGCTGCGTGGGCAGCGACGCGCCGCCGTCCAGGAACGAGCCCTGCCCCGCCCACCCCAGCCAGCGTCTCCGCTGCACGCGCAATTAAGTTACGGTGAGGGAGATGGAAGAGGAAGTCCAACCGCGGAGTGGCCGTGGATATCACGGTCACCCTCATCTGGTAAGGAACCCTCCAGGGTCTGACGCATCCTGGGCACACTCCTTGACCAACGCCCTGATCGTGCCATAGGGGCCGGAGTATCCCAAGGCCCAGCATTAGGCCCGACTGCACGAGATTACTCGGAATCAGACCAAATTGGACGGGATAATGCCCGATTTCGACCAATAATACGCTAGCACCGATGGTGAATGCAACATACATGGGGCCGTAAAACATGTATCCGAGACGAAAACAACCTGGGGAAAAAGGTGGTACCTCTGGGGCCGCGCCCCTGGAGTCGCCATGGAAGGATCGGAGTCCTGAGGGAAACGCGTCAGAGGTTTCTTCCCGCTTTGAGGTCCCGAAGCCCTCCACGGACCCCAGGACCGAGGCTAATGGTTAATGATCAAGACGTGGTCGTGGGGGGCGCCGCGGGGTCCAGGACCCGTTGCCCTCAGCACAAGTGTGCTCCATGCCAAACGAGAAAATTTGGCGTGAGCTCCATGTACAGGTTGATACGTGCGAAGACCTCAAATATGTGGCGCTGGCAGAGCCCAGCGCTGCGCGCGGACAGCCCCCCGAATCGGCCCTGGCTGGCCGCAACATGCCCAACCGGGTGAACCCAGGGCGGCGCCCACACCCCAGCTTCGTTTCTTCCTCCGCCTTCCAGCAGCACCCTAGGGAACCCACAAAGGACGTACGCGCCCAGCCATGTGCATGAACACGGCCCCTTGACCCGCGAGACCGGCCGCGTGATACGAACATGCCACGGAGCTTATGCTAAAATATTTGCCTGCGCGCGCGCGTCGCCTCTGTAGGGAAGGGGGGGCCACAGGAGCAGAAAACACGTGGCCAAACCAGACGGGCGCGTCGGGGGTTACAGCAACAACTGCAACTGCTCCCGCCCGAGACTTCCTCACAATTTAGCCAAGACCTCCGCTCCCGCCAGAGACTTCCTCGCATTGTATTCAGGAATCGCGCTCTCGCATGGGACTTCCTTACATTTTATTCAGGAGTCGCTCTCCCGGCGCTCTGGGGTCGCGCTCTCGCTGGAGACTCGCTTGCAATTTACTAAAGAATAGCGCCCTTGCGTTGGAATTTCCTCGCTCCACTCAAGCGTCGCGCTCCCGACACCCAGGCACCCATGAGTCGCGCTCACGCTTAGGACCCCCTCACAGATTACGTAGGAATCGGGTTCGGAATCGGGATCTCGCTACCCTTCGTGGCCCCGTTGCAGCCCTTCGCGGCCCCCTCGCTGCCATTCGTGGCCCCCTCGCTGCCCTTGGTGGCCCCGTTGCAGCCCTTCGTGGCCCCCTCGCTGCCCTTCGTGGCCCCGTTGCAGCCCCTCGTGGCGTCCTCGCTGCCCTTCGCGGCCCCGTTGCAGCCTTCCGTGGCGTCCTCGCTGCCCCATCTCTGCCCTTCGTGGCCCCGTTGCGGCCCTTCGTGGCCCCCTCAGTGCCCTTGGTGGCCCCGTTGCAGCCCTTCGTGGCCCCCTCGCTGCCCTTCGTGGCCCGATCTATGTATGCCCTTCGTGGCCCCCGCTCGTTCGCGCCCGTTGTGGCCCCATGTGCATGCCCTTCGTGGCCCCGCTGTCGCGCTTCGTGGCCCCCTCGCTGCCCTTCGTGGCCCCGTTGCTGCCCTCAGTGGCCCTGTGCTTACCCTCCGCGGCCCAATACACGTATGCCCTCCGTGGCCTCCGCTCGTTCGCGCCCGTTGTGGCCCCATGTGCATGCCTTTCGTGGCCCCGCTGTCGTCGTTTGTGGCCCCCTCGCTGTCCTATGTGGCCCAGTTGTTACCCTCAGGGGCTCCATCGTTGCCTCCTGTGGCCCCGCATTATCTGCCCTTCGTGGCCCCCGCTCGTTCGCGCCCATTGTGGCCCCATATGCATTCCCTTCGTGTCCCCGCTGTCGCCCTTCGTGGGCTACTTCGTGTCTTTCGTGGCCCTGCTGTCGTTCTCTCTCGCTCTCGGTTTCGCTCGTCGTCGTCCTCGTCGCCGTCGTCGTCGTCGTCGTCGTCGTCGTCGTCGCCGTCGTCGTCGACGTCGTCGTCGTCGTCGTTGTGGTCGGCCCCCTGTTCGTCCCTCTTGGGGTCGGGTCGACCGTCCGCGGCCGCCCCGCCGATCAGCGCTGCCGCTGGCCAAGCCGACGGTCCGCGGCCGCCCCGCCGCTTGCCGGGGCCTGGCACGCAGGGAAGAAAAGTATACCCCCCCAAAGAGGATGAATCGGAGACGAAGAGGGCGGGTATCGAGAGTTTGGGAAATACGCGTTATTGGACACTCGATCAGACATGGGCTAACAGTCTTAAAATGATTGGTGTTGTTGTTGGTGTTGTTGTGATTGTTGTTGTTGTTCTTGAACTTTCATGTTTGAAGAATACTTATCCCAGTGCGACCCTACCTAGGAGTTGGAGCATTTAGGAAAGCAACATCTACATCTACACCGGCAGCTACATTTACATCTGCACCTGCATCTACATCTACATCAACATCAACAGCGGGACTCCCATATTCATCTACATCCCAAACAACATCAACACCTACATCTACATATACATATACACCTACATACACATCCACATCTATACCTACACCTACACCTACATATACATCTACACTTTGTTGTGCGAATGCTATGAAATGCTATGATATGATATGCCATGATATGCTGAACTCTGCTGTGCTATGCTATGTTATGCCATGCTATGATTGGCTATGATATGCTATGTTATGTTGTGCTAATGCTGCGCTGCGCTATGCCGCGCTGCGCTAAGCTAAGGTAAGCTATGCTAAGCCAGGCTGGGCTAAACTAAGCTAAAATGAGATAAGCTAAGCGAAGCTAAGCGAAGCTAGGCAGAGCTAAGCTAAGCTAGGCTAGGCTGAGATAAGCGAAGTTAAGCTAGGCTCGGCAAAGCTAGGCTAAGCTCAGCTAAGCTGAGCTAAGCTAAGCCAAGCTAAGCTGAGCTAAGCTAATATGAGATGAGATAAGCTAAGCGAAGCTAGGCTAAGCTAAGCTAAGCTAAGCTAAGCGAAGGTAAGCGAAGCTAAGCTAGGCCAGGCAAAGCAAAGCTCAGCTTAGATGAGATAGGCTTAGCTTAGCTTAGCTAAGCTTTGACGAGGAAAATATTGGCGATCAAACTGTGCCCCTGGCCCGGACTACACCAACGACGGCCCCCGCCTGAAACTTCTCCCACATGTGTTAAGGACCTCCCCCTCCCGTCTGAGATTTCTTTATTTTTTTTTCATTTCGCGTTCCTGCAGCGGTCGCGGGTCTCCGCGCCGGCGCGGGCTACGTCGGCGCGCGACCCCCGGCTGCTGCGGCTCAGCGTTGCTGCCCGTGGCGGGGGCGCGCCGCGCTGAGCCTTCCTGCCGACGAAGTGGAGGGGCGGTCTTTCACGCCCCATCCTTCCCCCGCAGGTCTCGGGCGGCAAAGCTCGGCCCCATCCCGCAACAATCAGCTGCGGGGCGAAGTCGCGAAGGTGGGACTCGGCCGCTCTGAAGCCTCGCAACCGAGCGGCAACGGCGGCGCCCGTAAAGGGCCCCCCCCCCCCCCCGCTAGGCACCGAGGCTCAGAGAGAGAGAGAGAGAGAGAGAGAGAAGAGAGAGAGAGAGAGAGAGAGAGAGAGAGAGAGAGAGAGAGAGAGAGAGAGAGAGAGAGAGACGAGCAACGAGCAACGAGCAGCAACGAGCAACGAGCAACGAGCAACGAGCAACGAGCGAACGAGCAACGAGCAACGGGCAGGCACACAAGTGCTTTGAGACGTGTTCGGGCCCCTTAGTAGTCACTGGAAGTAGACGAGGAGGACGAGGAAGAGCAGGGAGAAGAAGATTGGCGCGGAGCAGCCAGCACAATGGATCGGCCCACGAACGAGACGCGCTTCACGCGCTCACTGGCGTCACCGCCCTCGCAGAACAAAAGTTGCATGAAAAGGTCACTGCCTACAGGCCGAGGCTGGCGGTCAGGCCCCAGAGGGAAGATCTCTTGCGGAGGATGGCGAGGAGGCCGAGGAGGAAGAGGCGCAGATGGCAGAAGAGGAAGAGGAGGCTGAGCAGGTCGAGGAGGAGGTAGACGACGAGGAGGCGGATGAGGACGACGACGACGAGGAGGCCGAGGAGGCTGAGGAGGGGGAGGAGGAGGAGGAGGAGGAAGCTGAGGAGGAGGAGGCGGAGGAGGAGGAGGCGAAGGTAACCGCGCCCCGCATCATCAGCTGCAAAGTCGGGACCAGCTCAGGCGAGAAGGGCGGGCAGTGGCAGCGGGCCTCAGCGCTGCTCGCCGAGACGGTGGACGCGAGGCTGGAGCCAGACGCCATCAGCTACAACGCTGGGGTCAGCGCATGCGAGAAGAGGGGGCAGTTGCAACAGGCACTGGCGCTGTTCAGTTCGATGCGGGATGCGAAGCAGGGGCCCGACGTCGTTAGCTCCAATGCTGAGATCAGAGCCTACGTGAAGGGCGAGCAGCGGCAGTGGGCTCTGGCGCCGCTCGGCGAGATGTGGGATGCGAAGCTGGGGCCCGACGCAATCAGGTACAGCGCTGGGATCAAACGGCGGGCCGCGGCAGCGGGCCCGGACGCGGCCCCGCGAGATGCGGGAATCACAATTGCAGCCCAACGTCATCAGCTTCAATGCCAGTACCAGACGTGCGAGAGGAGGAGACAGTGGCAGCATGCACTGGCGCTGCCCAACGAGATGTGGGATGCGAAGCTGGTGCCCGACGCAATCAGCTACAGCGCAGGAATCCTGGAAGGCGCGACGAGCGATCAGGAGCAGCGGACACTGGCGCTGGTCAGCGAGATGCGGGAAGCAAAGCTGCGGCCCAACGTGATCAGCTACAACGCCGGGATCAGCACAGGTGAGAAGGGCGATATGCGGCAGCGGGCACTGGCGCTGCTCAGCGCGATGCGGGGTGCGAAGCTGGTGCCAGACGTAATCAGCTACGGCGCTGGAATCGGCGCGTGCCAGAAGGGCGCTCAGTGGCAGCGGGCCCCGCCGCTACTCAGCGACAGGGGGCCGAAGATAACCGCGCTGGGCGCCATCAGCTGCAATGCCGGATTTGGCGCGAGCGAGAAGGGCACGCTGTCGACGCGGGCTGAGGCGGTTTCCCGGGAGACCCGGGATCCGAAGCCAGAGCCGAGCGTCTTCATCAGCTACAGTGCCGGAATCGGCGTGTGCCAAAACGGCATGCTCTGGCCGCGGGCTCTGGCGGTCTCCCAGGCCCCTCGCGCTGGCGGCGGCGCGCCTCCGGCAGGCGCGGGCCCGCCGCTGGGGCCTAGGCACCTGGCTGGCCAGCCTGCGGCGGACCAGAGGGGGGGGGAGGGCGAGCAACGGCAGCAGGCTCCGCCGCCGCGGCCGGCGCCGGCGGGAGGCGGCTGCACACCGCCAATGCATGACGAAAGCGTTTCCAAAAGTGCGGCCCAGACTCCCACGCGAGGAGGGCAGGGCCAGGGAGGGAGGCCTCAGGGCCCAGGGCACAGGTCGCAAAAAGAACGGTTAAAGGCTTCGAACTTCCGAGACGCGGCCGCGACAAAAGCAGCCCGGTCGTACTGGAGCAAGGCCGGGCGCACGCAACCTAGCCGGTACCCCCTCAGCACCCCCTTCCGGGCAGCGCGATCCCTCCGCGCAGCCTGGATCCTCTCAGGCGGAAACATGGCGCGGCATAGCAGGTCAGCAGGCGGGGAGGGCAGGCGGCCCAGAAGCCGAAGCGCCGCGGTCTCCCATGTCGGGGTGCCCACATCCTTCGCCTCGCAAAAACGACTGCGGCCGCTGGGTGAACGCAGGGCATCACCTGCAGGCGCGCCCTCGCCTTGATTACCCTCTCCAACAAACGCGTGCCGAGCCACGTTGGCCACCCGCGCTGCGCGACTACAACGGCATGCTTGATGGGAGGGCCTCTTTGGCAGCCCAACAGACGCCGACCCCAGTTCACTTGGAGCTTACTGAGGGCGGCCTCCGCCCCTGGCGCGCCCGCTAAAAGCGGGGCAGCGCATGGCACTCGAGCGCGCCCGAGGGGTCAGAACTGCAGGGGGGGGCGGAAAGTCAAGACGATCAGCGGCGACACTTCGTTTTGCACTTCTGCCGTCAAGACGATCAGCGGCGACACAACTGGAAGCGAGAGAATCGGCGAGGACTCTCACCAACGACACAACCAAAAGCAAGACATCGTCGAGGACACTCATGAACGAAACTCGCGGCCGCATAGGCCACTTGGTCGGCCCTTTTTCAAAGCAGCTCCCCCTTTCCGACGCGCGCCGAAGCACATCGACGGCTTTACGCGACCACGGAAGCACGCGACGGCAAATTTTGCCAGGACAGACTTTACAATGAAGTTATGTTCGGGGTCGTCGCCCCCGCAGCCGTTCAGCCATCATCATGTGCTATGCGCGCGCGCAAACATCATCACCATCATCATTGACCCCCTCGTCCTCATCATCCCCCTACCCTTCCCTATCCCTCCCTACCCCTCCCTCCTTCCCTATCTCTCCCCGTCCCTCCCTATGCCTCCGTATCCATCCCCATCTCTCCCTATCTCTCTTTTTCCCTCCCTATCCCGCCCTATCCCTCCCTATCCCTCCCCATCCCTCCCCGTCCCTCCTACCTATCCCTTCCTATCCCTCCCTCCGGATCACACCAATTTCCCCCCCGTATCCCTCCCTGCCCTTGGAGATGAAGGGGTTGATGGGGGAGAAGAGGAGGAGGATGATAAGCAAAGAGAGGCGGAGGATATGGTTCTGACGCCCCTCCACCGCGCCGCTCGCGCCCCCTCGCAGCGGCCTCCCAGGGCGACGCTCGCCTCGCTGAGGGGGGGGGCCAGATGGGTGGCCCTCTCGCCCCCCTCCTGCTCAACCTTCCTGCCCTCCATCCTTCTATCCGCATCCTCTCCCTTCTGTCCATCCTCCCTCCTCCCTCCTCCCTGCCTCCTCCTCCGCCTCATCCTCCTTCATTCTCCTCCCCCTCCTCCTCTCCTCCTCCTCCTCCTCCTCTTCCTCCTCTTCCTCCTCCTCCTCCTCCTCCCCCGTCTCCTCCTCCTCCTCCCCGCATCTTTCTCCTCCCCCCCTCCTCCTCCCCCTCCTCTTCCTCCTCCTCCTCACCATATTACTCCTCGTTCCCCCGCCCCTCCCCCACCTTTTCCTCCTCCTCATCCCCCCCCCCCCATCCACCTCCTCCTCCTCCTCCTCCTCCTCCTCCTCCTCCTCCTCAGCATCATCATCATCTCTTCTCGCGGTGGCTGGGTAGCTCAGCCTCCGTGCTAGCGCAAGGTGCGCCCACGACGAGCGCTTCGCGCGCTTCAAGCCTCCAGGCTTGACCCTGGAGTTGTCGCTGGAGGCGCGCTTCTGGGAGTCGCCCTCCGCCGCCGAGGCCTCCTCCTTGACCTTCGTCGCGGAGGCCGCCCCCTCCGACACCTGCTGCGCCTTCGGCCGCGGCGTCCCGCGCACGGAGCCCGCCGCGCTGCCGTCGCCCTTGGAGCTGGCCCCCTCGGCGGCGGGGGCCCGCTGCTCCTGGGCAATGCTGTCGAACTCGACCCAGAAGCCCTTCGGGATGTCCTTCGCCTTCTCGGCGCGGTGCGCCGCGAGATACTCGCGGGCCAGCTCCGGGCCACTCGGCTCGGTCCGCAAGGACGGGAGCAGCTGCGCACCCCTGATCATGCTCACCACTTGCTGCGCCTTCGCCTGGAAGGCCCCCAACTCCTCAGATTCCCCATTGCCCTCCGCCTCCTCCTCCTCCTCCCCCTCCTGCTCCTCCCCCACCCCCACCCATGCCCATCCTTCGCCTCATCGTCATCGCGATCCTCGCCCATCCTCTTCATCATCATCCTTCTCCTTCTCCTCCATCTCCTCGTCCTCCTCCCCCCCCCCCCCCTCCTCGCCCTCCTCCTCCTCATCATCCTCCTTCGCCTCCTGCTCCTCCTCTTCCTCGCCCTCCTCCTCCTCATCCTCATCCTCCTCATTCTCCTCCTCCTCATCCCTCCCCCCTCCTCCTCCTCCCTCCTCCTCCTCCGCCTCCTCTCCTCCTCGCGGTCTCCTCATTCTCATTGCCATTCCCACCCCCAGCCCAACCCTCCTCCTCCACCTCGTCATCGCCATATGTCCTCCTCCACCTCTTCCCATCCTCCTCAACTTCCACCATGTCCGTCCATCCCCCTCTTTATCGCCGTCCCCCCTCGTCCTCCGCCTTCTCGCCCTTCTAAACCACCCACCCAGAGGTCCTCCTCATCCTCCTCCTCCTCCTCCTCCTTGTTCTCCTCCTCCCTCCTCCCTCCTCCCTCCTCCTTCTCCTCCTCCCCCCCCTCCGCATCCGCTCGCCATCTGGGCGAGCGCTGTCGCGACGGCCTCTGCCGTCGCGTCGCGCTCCTTGATCGGGGGGCTCACGTCCATGAGCTCGCCAGCCCGCGCCGCACACGATACTGTCTTGTGGAGCGCGTTGTAGGCGTTCACAGTTCCAGTCATGTCGTTGAAAAGGGTGTTGCCGATCTTCTCGTTGTAGTTCCCTGGGCCGTCGGACGCCGCGTCGCACTCAGGAAGGGCGCTCTTGCAATGCATGTTGCTGGCTTTTAAAGCAGCCGAGATCTTCACCGAGAGAATTGCTCTGGTGGTCCCTGAAAACACTGCCACATATTTGATCCACTGCCTCACGCACTGCGGGCTGAGGTGGCAAGCGAACCCAGCCTTCTCGAAGGCGTGGCACTTGTCAGTCAGAAGGGGAGAATCGAGGCGAAGCAGCATCCGCTGCATCACACGCTGCGCGTGCACGCAGCGGCCGAACAACGCAGTATCGTCTAAGGGATTCGTCTGGAACAGGCTCTTGTGATGCTGCGCCGCGCAACCCACCAAGCCCTTGACCTGCATCGGGATGTCCAAGTATGTCGTCGCCAACGAGCGCTCCATGCCTTCGTCTCGCCGTTCGTGCTCGCCCCTGGGATCACGATGAGACGATCGACTCCAGCCTGCAAGGATGACGCCAAGTCAGACAAAGCAACGTTGTAGCTGACCTGCTCTAAAGCTTTTTCGTCTTCGATCTGTCCGCCCACCCAGCTGACGTTCTCCAAACACAGATCCTCGATGCTGCCGCCGCCGAAGATGGTGACCAGCCTGAAGAAAACTTCTTCCGCAGGTTCTTCTCGAATCACGCTCTCGCTGACCCCGTTGATGTTGAAAGAAGGGCTCGGAGCGATCTCTGCGATCTTGCCGCTAATGAAGATGTCGGGGCACTCGGTGTAGATCTTCATGCCTTGATGGGCTGGGTTGCTCTGAACCGATGGTGCCTCTCGCCGCCTTCCCTCCCTCCGTAGAGTGGCCCCTCCGTGGCTGCCCGCGGCGCGCAGCCGAGACGGCTTGCTCTACCTGAGGGAGGGTCGCGGCGAGATCAGCACACCAGTGGAGATCAACCCGCGGGGCCTGGACCCTCGACGAGCGCCTTGAAGGTACGACTGGTGCCCTCGATGATCTCCTTGCGAGTCACGGCGCTCGGGGCGTCGAACACGAAACCCTCCTCTTTCATGAAATTCACCATGCCTGCTAACTGGACGATGTCATTCGTGAACTTCTCGTGCGTCTCCCGTGTCGGGGCAGCTATCTTTCTCATCTCCACCAGCTTCGCGCAAAACTTTGGGAACCCCGCCATGTTCTTCAGAACGCTAGTCATACGAATGAGCCCGTTCTCGAAACTACCAGGGTTGAAGAAGTCCTCGCAAATGTGCTCAAACACCGTGCCGCCCACGCGCTTGTGGAGCATGTTCGCGCAGCACATCCACCTGGCATGCAAGTCGCTGAGGGGCGCCCTGAAGACGTCAACGCTATCCTCGAACAGCTTCGCTGTGCTTGTGAACTCCTCGATGTCGGCCTTCAGCTTGTTGGTATCCAATGCCTGGGCCGTCGCCGCGTCATCACCGACAGTGGCCATGGAAAAAGAAACGTGTGCGTCACCGAAACCAGGGGGCATGTCGATGATGGGCCCCGAGAAGATGTCAACGAGCATGTACTTCCCGACCTCCAGCAATACAATGCAGTTGTTGAGGTTCTCGGCAGTGAACTTCAGGTTCGCATGGCACGCCGCCGTGGACCACGCCTTGGTCGAGCCGTGCGCACTGGTGAAGAAGAGGCCCATGCGGTTGAGAAGTGCATTGAGATTGGCGTAGCCAACCTGGTGTGATTCTGTTCGCACCTTGGCAACCCATGCGTCAAGATCTTCGAAGGACTCCGCGAAATCCTCCTGGAAGGCCTTCGATGCGCGATCGAATTGGCCTGTCGCTGTATCGTCCTCGATGGACCGCTGAACGTGCACGCGGCTGGCCCCCATGAAAGCCTTGCCCAAAGGATGCGCCTGCGTCGTGCGAGCGAGTTCCGATGCTGGAGAGGAAGCTTGTTTGAGCAAGTCGTGGATGATCCTCCTGGCCTGTCTGACGGCGTTTGTGGGCGGCCTGGCGCTCTCGACGTGGTTGATGCACTTTGCAATCACGACGCTGCTCCTCAATGCCTCTAAGGTCAAAGATCTACAACCCACCCGCGCATTGTGGCCAGCCAAGGGCCCTCCGAGGACCACCGAAATGGCCAGGCCGAAAGTCCGAACTCCGAAAACCCGAACCCCGAAAAAAAAGACGGATCGAAAATCCGAACACCGAACAAATCTGACGATTGGGTCGCTGTGCTTTGGCACCGTTACGCCTCTGAGAACGTATCGTCCTCCATATCAGTCGCGATCAGCTTCTCCTTCAAGGCCCACTGCTTGCCGATCAACTCGTACTCCACCATGAAGTCGTAAGCTTGCACGGCGTTGGCGACGGCCTTCTCGGGCACGGAGGGCACCCACTGCTCCACGGCCTCCGAGGGCATGTACGAAAAGTAGAAGACTGGTGTCTGGCTGACATGTGCTCGCACATAGATGTCGTATGTTGCTCGCTTAGTCCCCCTGGTCTTGGACCTTTTGAACGGTGGCGTAGCGCGATCGCTCTCTGCTTCGACAGGGCCCTTCTTCTCCGTTTTGACCGAGACAGTGGCCTCCTCCACCACGCGGGGAACAGCGCCCCTGTTCTTCAAATGAGGTTCGAAGATGGTTTCGTCGAAGGTCTCGATGGCGCGAGGGATAGACTGCAAGTCTTTCGCAAGCCGATGGAAGACGGCGTACATCAAGGCGATGCGGATCTCCTCTGAAATGCAGGCCTGTTGCTTCATCAGGTAAGGGAGTAATCTCGCAAATGGCTCCAGCGTCTCGTACAACAAGACATCCTCCTGACTTTCCAGCCAATTCTTGACCTCCTTGTAGAGGGCAATCACGCCTTTCTCACACCTACTGTCCAACTGGTGAAAAGCCAATTGAACGTCGAAATTAGTTTTGCCCACAACATTCGGACTGTGTCTGGCGAGACGCCTGTGCAAGGCGTGCATGGTGCCAAGCACGAACTGATCGTGCCAAGTCTCATCGGCCAACTTCTCCACATACTCGTTGATGGTCCCCCTGATCCTGCAAAACGCCCCGTAGCAACCCCCTGGCGGGAGGGGGGCCGCGACGGAGAGGTCGTTGATACCTTTAGTCGTCTGGAACGCCAATACGTTGTCGCCGTCGTCTGCTGGCTCTTGCTTTGGCTCTTCTTCTCCTGGCTGTTCGGCTCCAGGGTCGCGGTCCTGGTCGCCGTCGCCGTCGGCCTCATCACCCGTGCCCTCGGCGCTCACTGGCATGGCCATGTCCTCCTCAGGCGTCTGGGGCACGGCGAGCGGCACGACTGACGTATGCGCCATCATGCTCACGATCTTGCTGTAGAAGCCATGGCTGTACGAAGCAAGCTCCAGCCTCGCCGCCACCGCCTGCTCGGTGAGGTCATCGCCCTTCGGCTCCGAGGCTGGAAGTCCCAGCTGCTGCAGCTCCTCCACGGAGGGCTCGGCCTTCGCAATCTCGCCAAAGTCGTCGCGGAGCTCCTGCTTGACATAGCCATGCGCACCAGCTACATCCACACAGCTCAGGACGGCTGAGGCCTTGTCGAACTGCACCCTGTTCCCGAGGCGCCTGGGCACGACCTGCGCTTGCTCTTCAGCGCACTCGAGAGCCTCCATCACGTCTGGCAGCTCAGGCTCCTGCATGGAACCAAGCATAGACACGCTCGCCGCGGAGCCGCTCGCCATTCCCACCGAGAATTACACTCCGCAAGAGGGGCAGGGGTCTGGCAGAAGGCTGGTTCGCTTCAGAGTTCTGTGCCCGATACTGCGATGCAGGGGGAGGGCAGGCAACCATGCCTAACATGTGAGAGTGGCCGGAGCTCCAGAATCCTGATAAAACCCCCCTCTCCTCCACCTTCTCCTCCTGCCCTCCTTCTCCTCCCTCCCCATCTTGGAAATTAGCACAACGCAATCGATCGAGGTACCAGGGCCCCCCCCCCCCCCCAGGGGGTCAAGAGGTAGAGGCCAGAAACTTGGGTCGAAAGCCCCAACAGTTTAGACACGATATTGTTTGTGTGTGTGTTTTTGCCTAAGGTGTTCGTAACCATTGGCAAGGGAATGGTTGGATATGCTCTCGCCAAATTAGTTGTCGCGCCAACATCTAAGGGGCTCCTGGGGCTCCCCGAACCTCTGGTGTTCTGGAACCTTAGTCGATAATTTCGTGGGTGCTCAGAAGGTTCATTCGGTACTTCAACTGTCCCCGCATGCATTTCTCATAGTTTGCACCGCACTGATTGCACCACATAGATGAAGACGCCAGCGCCTACCACATAGACTGCATCACATCGGTTACACCACGCAGCTCACACCGCATATATTGCACCATTTCAATAGCCTCACAAAGCTTGCACCTGATCAGTTCAACTCGCTGGGCGTCGTTTCTGAATGGGCATCGTTTCTGGATGGCATCTTTTTTTGATAGCGCCATGGTCAAGGGAACTGTTAGTGACACAAACAGCACAGAGTGCACGGAATTAAACCACCTGCTGATGTTACTCGCAACTTTGATGATCTCATCAAATGAGCAATACTCATCCCAATATCCACTGTGTATCTATACGGTAGGATCATAACCATCCCAATGTTCACTGTATAACAATCAGTGTCCCAATGTCCACTGTAGACGTTAACCAAGCAAATCAACGCCACTATGTATTGTCCCAACTGTCTGTATTCCAGCTGCTGCTCTTCCAATCTGATTTGTCCCAGCTTTCTCCACCACGCCAATCTTTTTTGTCCCAGTTGCGATCTGACGTGTCCCAGCTGCGATCACTACCATCATCACGCCAATCTTGTTTGTCCCAGCTGCGACCACTACGATCAGCACCCTTACCCGTGCTCATGTCCACGCCGCCCATGGGGCCCATGATGCAGCCGCTCATGCCGCCCATGCCGCTGCTCATGCCCATGCTGTCCATGTCAATGCCCGTGCTGCCAATGCCCATGCTCCTCATGCCCGTGCTGCCCATGCCCATGTTGCCCATGCCCATGCTGCCCATGTCTACCATGTCGCTCGTGCCGCGCATGCCGTTGCCCTGCTGCAGGCTGGTGCCCTGCTGGCTGATGCCCCCCTCGAGGATGCCCTGCTGGCTGATGTTCTCCGTCCTGACGCTCGGGGTGGCAACCAGCGGGGGCGTGTGCATCTTGGGAGTCGTGGGCTCTGTCGGGCGCGGGAATGCTGGCTGCTGCATCTTGGGCGGCTGCATCGGGGGCGGGCCTGCTGGCGGTACTGGTGCCATGCCTCTCGCCCGTGCAGATAGCGGTGGCGCGCTGAAAGACTTCGAGATCCCTGCAAATAGCGGCCCGAATGACTCCGAAATCCCTGCAAATAGCGGCGAGGGCGACGGTGACACCTTCGCTTCTTGTACGGGTGCGCCTGCGCTTAGTATCCCAGCATGCCTTGGACTTGGTGGACTTGGAGGCCCGTCGATACCCTGAAATGGCGCCTTTGCTGATGGCTGAATGCTGTCCTGCGGCTGAGCAAGCTCACGGGATTTCTTTGCATCGGGCTCTCCTTGCTTCTCCACAGGCGTACCAGGGCTCCTTTTACTCGGAGCCATCCCCGTCGGCGCTGGTGTCATAGGGGCCTTTGGACGCGATGCACTGAGAGACTCTGGCTGAGGATAGTAATCAGGTACATTCGTTGGCCAATCCTCACGTGGAAACAGGGCCGTCGTTCCGCCGTCGTCGTGGGCGAAAAACAACACTCCAGGATTGCGCGTGCTAGAGATCGCTACCCTCCACCCATTTGGGAGTCTGGGCGTTAGCTCGTTCAGCGCCCTCTGGGCCAATGCCAGCTCTTCCGTCATTCTTGGCTACGCGCATCCAGGGAACACTGCCAAGATCCAGTGGCCTTCTTGGCCCTACCTATTGGGCCTCTTGGCCCTCTCTGGGCCTTCTTGGCCCTCTTGGGGCCATATTGGGTCCCTCTTGGTCCTCGTGGCCCTCTCTGGGCCTTCTTGGCCCTCTCGAGGCTCTCTCCAGGCCCTCTCTAGGCCCTCTTGGGCCATTGCCAGGGGCCATCTCTGGGCCTTCTTGGCCCTCTTGGGGCATTCTAAGGGCCCTCTCGGGCCTGGGCAACCGGCCACCTCTGAGCCTTCTTGGCGCGGGCAGTTGGTTTTGTGTTGTGTGTGTTTGTTTGTTGGGGCGCGGGCAAAGGCCCCTCTTGGGGCCTTATCTAGGCTTCGCCTTGTGGGTGGGGGCGAAGGCTATTCCGATACTGGGTCGTGGCAATGCCCCCTTGCAATATTGTCGGCACAAGAAGTCGAAGCCGTAAGCAACCTTTTCGGAAGTAGAAGTCGTAAGCAATCTTGTCGATACAAGGAATAAGCAATCTTTTCTTCTGGATACCAAGAAGTCGTAAGCAATCGTATCGATCCAAGAAGTCGTAAGCAATCTTGTGTGTACAAGAAGTAAACAATGTTGGATAGCGCCTGGAAGCAAGGCTCCTCGCGAGCCTGAATGCAGCGGGATGCTTGGATCCACCTCCGCCACATGGAGCCCTTCGCTTTTGGGATCGTTCCTGGGGGCCTTAGTGTAAGGGGTGGGGTTACGTCATCGCTCGCTCTTGGGAGCCGTGGCTGTCAGGGATGTTTACGTTGCGGCTCGCTCTTGGGAGCCTTGGTTTGAAGAGCTTATTACGTCACCGTTCACTCTTGGTGGCCTTGCTGTGAAGCTTTTTACTTTACCGATCGCTTTTTTACTTGGCGGCGCGGGCATTCATGAACTGTTGGAAAAAACGTGGTTTTGAATACGGCTCGCGCTGGAGAAAGTCTGTTTTACAATGGCTTTCTTGTGTAGCAAAATCGGTTGTCTGAACCACAGCCATGGGGCAGCAGACGTTGCCGCGCTGAGCTGGGGCGCCTTGGGACAGCAGAAATTGCCGCACTGAGCTGGGGTGCCTTGGGATAGCAGAAGATGCCGCACTGAGCTGGGGGGTGCCTCGGGGCAGAGGAATTTGCCGCACTGAGGTGCGGTGCCTTGGGGCAGCAGAAGTTGCCGCACCCAGCTGGGGTTGCCTTGGGGCAGCACAGACGTTGCCGCGCTGAGCTGGGGCGCCTTGGGGCAGAAGAACTTGCCGCACTAAGCCGGGGTGCCTTGGGGCAGAAGATGCCGCACTGAGCTTGGGTGTCTTCGGACAGCAGAAGATGCCGCACCGAGGTGCGGTGCCTCGGAACATCAGGAGATGCAGCACTGAGCTGGGGTGCCTTGGGGCAGAAGAAGTTGCCGCACTGAGCTGGGGTGCCTTGGGGCAGCAGAAGTTGCCGCATTGAGCTGGGGCTGCCTTGGGGCAGCAGAAATTGTCGCACTGAGCTGGGGTGCCTTGGGGCAGAAGAAGTTGCCGCACTGAGCTGGGCGCCTTGGGACAGCAGAAGATGCCGCACTGAGCTGGGGTGCCTCCCATGGGCAGCAGAAGTTGCCGCACTGAGCTGGGGCGCCTTGGGGCAGCAGGAGGTGCCGCACTGAGCCGGGGTGCCTTGGGAAAGAAGAAGCTGACCGCACTGAGCTGGGGTTTCTCTTGGACAGCAGAAGATACCGCACTGAGCTGGGCGCCTTGGGACAGCAGACGTTGCCGCACTGAGCGGTGGTGCGCATGGGGCAGCAGAAGTTGCCGCGCTGAGCTGGGGCGCACTGGGGCAGGAGAAGTTACCGCGCCGAGCTGCGGTGCCTTGGGACAACAGAGTATGCAGTACTGTGCTGCAGCACTGTGCTGAGGTGAATTGGGCCAGAAGAGGTTGTTGCACTGAGCCTGGGTGCCTTGCGACAGCAGAAGTTGCCGCGCTGAGCTGAGGTGCCTTGGGGGGGCAGAAGTTGCCGCACTGAGCTGGGGCGCCTTGGGACAGCAGAAATTGCCGCACTGAGCTGTGGTGCCTTGGAACAGAAGAGGTTGCCGCGCTGAACTGGGGCCGCCTTGGGGCGGCAGAAGATGCCGCGTTGAGTTGGGGCGCCGTGGGGCAGAAGAAGTTGCCGCACTGAGCTGGTGTGCCTTGGGACAGCAGCAGAAGATGCCGCATTGGGTTGGGGCGCCTTGGGACAGCAGAAGTTGCCGCGCTGAGCTTGGGTGTCTTGAGGCAGCAGAAGTTGCCGCACTGAGCTGGGGTGCCTTGGGGCAACAGAAATTGCCGCACTGAGCTGGGGTGCCTTGGGGCAGAAGAAGTTGCCGCGCTGAGCTGGGGTGCCGCGGGGCAGCCGAAGGTGCCGCACTGAGCTGGGGTGCCTCCCTTGGGCAGCAGAGGGTTCCGCACTGAGCTGGGGTGCCTCGGTGCAGCAGAATATGCCGCACTGAGCTGGGGTGCCTTGGGACAGGCGAAGTTGGCCGCGCTGGGCTGGGGTTTCCTTGGGGCCGCAGAAGTTGCCGCACTGAGCTGGGTGCCTTGGGGCAGCAGGCGTTGCCGCGCTGAGATGTGGTGCACTGGGACAGCAGAAGATGCCGCACTGAGCTGGGGCGCATTGGGCCAGAAGAGGTTGCCGCGCTGAGCTGGGATGCCCTGGGACAGCAGAAGCTGCCGTACTGAGCTGGGGTGCCCTGGGCCAGAAGAAGTTATTGCACTGGGCTGGGGGCGCCTCGGGGCAGCAGAGGATGCCGCGTTGAGCTGTCGTGCCCTGGGCCACAAGAAATTGCCGCACTGAGCCTGGGTGCCTTGGGGCATCAGAAGTTGCCGCGCTGAGCTGGGGCTGCCTCGATG